TAAGTCCGTAAGGGGAATGCTAGCAGATGGCTTCGGAAAGGAACGGGTAATGATTTACTCCGAATATTTAGCTTGCGAATCATGAGATGTTCGTGTTCTGGTACTGGTGGGGAAACAGGCGCGTTGTTGGCGAAGGTGACATTGACATGCGAGTTTGACGGCAATGTGGTGGATATGGTGGATGCCTTTGAGCCGATTGAGGCCTGGGACACAGCGACCGATATGATGCAAGCGGGTTTCCAGTATCTTCAGGAAGCCCCCGATCTGGCAATCGGGTTGCCCGCTGAGGAGCACGTGGTGCCGTTGGATGAGGAACTGGAGGCGGTGCGCAATGAGTATAGGGCCAACGACACCATCCGTACTTTCATCTTTATAACACTAGCGGAATGTCTTCATGCCATGTCCCAAGTGATAGAAGAACATCCAGAGACATGCGGTGTTTCAGAAGACTTAGGGGAGCGCATCTGTGAGTGGGTGGACACTTACCGGAACAGTTTTCCGGACGAGACAGCATCAAAACTCTTGATATTTCCTTCGACGAAGGCTACTCGAATTCAAGACCTCAAGTTCATTCTTCTATATCTGTCCCGAATCCCCGGGATAACTGAGGGACTGAAGACCATCACGATACCAACCTTACAGCAGTGCAATTTGGATGAGATCTCCGCCGAACCGTGGCACGAAGCCGCCGCCGTACTGGATGACCAAAATGAGAGCATATGTGACCCAGAGAACGACATAGCTTTGCAGTGCCAAGGAACGATGCTCTGGGACACGTACCAACAGACGCTGGGGGAGCTGGCAGTGAAGTACGCGGTGGGGCCGCGTTAACGTTTTTAACGAAAACCCGGGCCAGACTTCACCCAATGCACGGAGGTTAAGTATCATGCGCAGAGTTGGAGCAATGCACGGAGGTTAAGTATCATGCGCAGAGTTGGACCAATGGCTCGTTGCGAAGACTCTGTAATTAACTGGGCGGAAGGTGCAGGGTAGAAGCGGGGCCGTGGCCTTAGGCGAGGGAGCTGTGCGGGCTTGGAGTACGCGAAGGAAGTAACTCCAGCTCTGCAGTGGACATCCTCCCTTGCCGTGGTTGGGATTGTCGAGTACGTGGGGTGCCGAGTTCGG